ATTATAGCTGTGCACCACCCCGCCCAGCTCATGTAAGAAACTTTTAATCATTTATTACTTTGATGATTTAAACATATTTAAAATTGCTATAATTAAAWTAGTATAGTAATGATGAAACAATGTATATACAGATGGATAAAACGGTATGAAGATTTTGAAATTATGTGTGTATGTGTGTATATATATGTGTATATATATATATATGTATAATATATATTCAACTGATTTTCAACTGAATTGATGGTATAACTCAATGTAAAACCACCACAGTTATTATAACAAAAACAGAACATAGACATGGATCTTAACCTATAAGTGTTAAACTTCTGGAAGAATATCAGGAAAGATTGGTATTTTGAGTTAGAAAATATTTTCCTAGATTGTGATACAAGTCACCAACATATGGAAAATTAAAATAACCTACTATTTTTCACAAATTAAAACTGTTTCATGAATGATTCAGTTAAGAAAATGAAGTGGTAATTCAGAGATTGGTGCTAAGTATTTTCACAGATTTATTTTCAGAAAGATCTATGACTAAATTTTATAATGAACTCTCACAATTCAGGAATAAGAAAGTAAACAACCATACTAAAMTGGACAAAAATATTAACAGCCTCTTTACCAAAGAATAGGTATTAAGAGAAAATATAAKTTGAAAAGGTGTTCAGCACAATTAGTCACTAATTACATGTAAAATTAAAAAAAAACATGGTATACTTATATAACTCTATAAATTCAAATGTCAAAAATCAAGTTTCAGAGAAGAGCTTGGAACAGTTTTTACACTCTTAGACTTGTGATAGAAAGTGGTTAYCAGGGCTTTTTAGAAGAGGGTTGCCTTCATAGCAGCACATAGAAAAATTTTCAAATGATTAAAATGTYAACAATTTTATTTTATTGGTGTTTCTTTGTAGGCAGAGATATGAAAACTCMGAACTATGCACCTCAAAACTGTGAGATTTACTGTATTTAAATTATACCTCAAAATTGATCCCTAAAAATGGTAATTAACTATTAAATTCACTCTTTAATATTCTCTAGCCTAATCTTAAATGCAAAAAACTTTTTCGCTGAAGAGGTAGAAACAKAAAAGGATATAAAGAGAAGGAATAATTTTAAGGGTCCTTGTGGGTGATGTCATGGTTTGGAAGCTTGGATTTAGTAATGATTCCCCAACTACCTAYATGGACTCATATTTCCTGAAAACATAATCAGCTTTTCTCTTTTAAAATATAAAGGTAGACATGAGGTAGAGCTGCATCTAAATATATCATTTGATTGCTTTAAAATGTCTAGTTAGGAAAATTATAACAGTGAACAAATGTCCAACAATATACTTTCAAAATTCTCATACAAATAATAAATATAATAACATAAGTTAATATAATAAGAATGCATGCTTTTGTTTAGCATGTTATAATATTTTGGAAAATGGCAGATGCAAAAGAAAAGGATTTTCATGGATATAATCTATTTAACATTTTTGGAAGAAGTTTGGCCTCATATAAATATGCAAAATTGACATACGTTGGTTCAGCAGGTTAGCTTGAGCATTTTCTCCTATAGAAGCACATTCACAATGTACAAATAAAATTTAAAAAATCGAAAAATCATCTGGGAGATAATTAATTCTTTATATTATATCTTTGTTATATGATTTAAACTAGTGTTTAAAAACTTGGAAGGCTACTTTTGTATTGCCTTGGAAAAATGCTTTTGATAAATTCTTGAGAAGAAAAATACATGATATAGAATAATGGGGGGATGCCATGTACCAAATTACCTTAACATATTTTATTTTCCTTTTAGAAAGTTTGTCATGTTACCTCTGGGGAAAAATGCTGTAATGTTTGCTCCAAAATTATATAAGTGGTCTTGCATATTTGAAGTTTTGACAATATGTGTGCACGTATTCATAATGAATACTTTATAAAATCAATTATTTTATTTGCTGCATAGCTAAACACTTCCTAAACAACTGATCTTATTCAAGCTTCTGTTATGTTTTCATTCCAATTTACTTTTCATACAATAAATGGAGAAGTAGATCAAACCTACTGTACCTGATAAAATGATGGCTTTTTGTCCCTTGAATATAATAGGACATGTTAAGAAATATAATGCCTGAGATATGTCGTCTCCTTTCTCAGATTCCTTGGGGAAAAATAAGTCTAAGCTTGGCTAGGATAGTTGGGAATTCCCAAGGCTTCTAGAATCTCACTCGAGSCTTTTCATGCTCCTGGGAATCCCTCTCTGGCTGGTCTGGATAGTACTATCAAATGCTTCAAGTAAGACGCCACTTTCCTTCTTAGAGGGAAGGACAATCCTGAGGACAGATACATCCAAACTGAAAAGGCCACACACATTGTTCAGTGAGTGAAGAGWTTCAGAGATAAGTAATACCATGTACCATCTTAACCTTGAGACTGTCCATTCAAGTAAATTGGTACAAGAATAACCAAATGATATTAAAATYAAGATTTTAAAATTTCACAACAGAAAAATAACAATAATAACTAGTTTCCCAGGGAGTAAAGGGACCAACACAAGTGGATAATGTTGAGTTAAGATGAATGTGTTGTGAGGATTAAATTATTTGGGAGAATTTTGTGTTTCATAAGTTTAAAGTATTAGTACATTTTATCTGGGTTTTATAATGTAATAGTTATTGTATTCATCAACAATTTATTGAGAGTATTTGTTAATGTACTATGTGCATATTATGTTGTAAAAGCTGAATTTGTAAATCTAAAGATTCCTAAATTTTATGGACTGTGTTTTTTCTTTTGATAGCTTTCTCCTGAGTCCTGAAACCATTATCTCATGAATATAATTTGCAAGCATGCATTAGATTTGAATAAATCAACATGCTCTGTTTTTAAATTCTTATAGAGAACACCCTATGCTTTTGTAAAGTGTAGAGTTTTTTTTTTTCTCCCCCCATTAAGAAAAATAGCTTTTCCCAATCTAAATACTAAACTTAAGCCTACTAGTGATATTTGTCATCTTCTTTACAAATTCCAGTATAATCTAGTGGGGGATTATATTTTGTGAGCATAACCATTCAAAAGCAAATTAAAATATTCAAAAATACACAAAATTCATCTTCATGAAGAACACTTCTGCTCGTGCTTTGAGGCTTGTTGATATTCAACTGCAACCCTCAATGAATTATATTATATGACTATATTTTTTTAGGGTCTCTTTAAACTCACTGCAATTTTGTAATTCTGTGTGCCTTTCCCCAGCTGAAGCTTCTTCATAATTCTTGTTAAATTTHAATGTATTAGTGAAGATTTACTTATAATCTAAAATTAAATAGAGTGATCCAGATATAGATATGAATTTGATATATACCTCTGAATCAGATATTTTATAAGCTCTATTTTTCAATTGTTAGGATTATTTTTTGTCTTATGTTCAATTAATTATTCTAAATACCCATTAATAGTTATGATTCACATATTTTAACAATAAGGAATGTTGGTCTCAGAAAGGTCAGGTGGCCCTTTGGGCTGAACAAACATGAGGTGATGAAGCTAATATTTAAACTGTAATAATAGTAATCTTCCATAAGGCTTATTCTATTTTCCACTTATGCTTGAATTTCTCATTCAGTGCTTAGAACCCACCTGATACAGAAATTCATATAAGGAGGTATAACATAGCATAATATGCATATTATAACATAAACATATAAAAGAAGCAGGAGAAATAGAACAGAAAGGGAAGATAAGAAAGAAGGAAGGAGTTGCTTGAAACTAAAGTTACTGTAAAGTAAGAAGCTTTGTGCTAATAACTAAGGTGCATGCATAGCAGATGTATATGTATATATATATGAAGGAGTGGGTTTATATACATGCTTATGTACAAATATGAGATATTTTAATAACATTATTTAGTCTAGAGCTTTAACCTCATCCATGGAGGTGGGTCTCACTGAAAGGAATACTATAAGAATATGTATAATATCCTTTTTAAAATTTAAGGCAGTAAACATACACACATATATAACACATTCAGTACCTAAATGTTAACAAACACAATAGTTTATTTTTCATAGAAATTCAAGTACCAGGATCTAGTAAATGTGTTTCAACTTCACCACTAGATATGGAGAAGGGCCAGACATGAAGTGCTCTTAATTATTGTTTCTAAAACACTTTTTTCCTTGCTTTTCTTCCTCTGAATCTACTTCTGTCTTTATAGCTTCTGCTCTTTTTTAAAATCCAACAAATATTTGACCTACCATTAGTTACCAGGAACTTGATAAAATATATGACTTTACATTTTCACAATGCTCTCAAAAGTACAGATAATACATAATACATGCAAAGTTCAGTTATAAATATGCAGAACTTCAGTTATATATAAAATTTCTTTCATATACTATTATTTTATACTATGAATTTCAATAAATCATATATGTATGTAGCTTATGAAATTCTATACTACTTAAATTTAGTTTATGAAATTTTGGACTATAAAAACTATGAGATTTTATTGTTTTACAGAAATAGTTTTGTTGTTCTTAATGATTCATTGTGATTTCTAGTGAAATTAATGTGGGATCTTATTTTATAATTTCAATAATTCACTTATGTTTATATTTGTATTGAATTGAGTACTGTGAAAGCTCAGATACAAATGGGAATTAATTGACTTTTGTTCTATTAATAGAATAAATCCTCACAACCACATTTACATAGAGTATCATTATTACAAATTTATTTAAAAGAYAAGTAGGATTCAATAAAATCAAATAACTTATTTCAGTCATTTTTAGCTAAGGTAGTAATCATGTCTTTACACAAAAGTAGTTTATCATAATATGTATAATGCCTAACATTTTTGTGAAAAAAAATATCAGGGTAACAAAAAAATTATGATTTCAAATACCTGAAGACTAAATGATAGGGAAGAAAGATGATCAAACATAGAATAATGAAAAGGTACCAAAAATATTCATAAGACTATTAATTCTAGGTCAAAGGATCAGAGAATACTGTCTGGAGCAGATAAAATCTGTGATTAATGAAAGGTTAGTTAAATACTAATTAGGAATTCATTAGCTATGAAAGATGGAGGGAGAATCCAATAATTGAGTCAGAATTTTGGCTTGAGCAAACATGTAAAAACATAAACTAATAAAATCTAAGGATGTAGCTCTGATATGCACTCACAATAATTGTATGGATATTTTAGACAGATACCAGAAAAAAAAGATCAGAGTTAATTTTAAAGCAATGATGATAAAAATGAAAAATAATGGATTGATTTATTAGTAATTCTCTCTGCTTAAATAGTATTTATGCTTTTCATTAGAAGCCTAGGGAATGTACACAATAGCATTCCCATTTTATAAATGAGGAAATAGGCCCAGAGAGAAAACTTAACCAAAGAAAAATTACAAGTAAGAAGTAGGGTCGTAATTCAATACCAGATATTCTGGTTTCTGATCGTGTGATCCCCAGAACTACAAAAATAAACAGGCATTAATTGAATAGTTAGCTCATCGATAATATTTCTGGAGTAAACACAAGAGAAAGTTGTAAGATTTGAGAAAGATTAAATTGTCCCATATGCTTAGGGCAYATATTTGAATTACCCATGAATCATTTGGGCTRTGATGTCCATGGCTCAGGAAAAWAAAATATATATTCAGAAAAGGTAACCTGGATTGAGTATGAGAGTAAGTGTGTTAACTTAAGACTTGAGAGAACTCAAATTGCCCAGAAGATAACCAGTAGAGAAGAAACTAACCAAAGAGAAATATAGAATTTTATGCTTTTTGTCCAAAGACAGCTTTGCATTTGTAGGACAGAGGGATGCATGTAGGGATTTAGGGTTCTTTGAAATGGAGAAAAAAATTACAAGATAATATTTAAACAATAATATCAGTGAGGTCATGAAGCTTTTTATGATATGTGAACAATCTATATCAGAGTCAAATACAGGAGGGTGAAAAATACTAGTGTCTGGGGCTCAACCCTGACATAACGAATTTCTGGTAATGGAAGTCAAGTTATTTCACACACCCAATGTATTCCTTTATGAATAAATTGAAAGGCAGAAATTAGGGAAAATTTCCRAAAAATATACTTTGATGAATATGGATTTATTATTATTATGAAGCCATTCTTCAGACAAAGAAATATTTATTTTTGGTCAGTTTTACTGATTTATTACTTACATAAAATAAAATTTACCAATTTTAAGAGCAAAATTTGATGAGATTTTTAAATGTGTAAGTCATGGAAATAATCACGATGGTATGGAACATTTTCATCTTTCTAAATGTCTGTGCATTTCCCTTTGTAATCAAACACTTTACACTTTGTTTACTTATGTAACTGAGATCACATAGCATTCGGTGTTTTGTATTTGTCTTCTTTAGCATAGCATAAGTGATCAAGTCCTGCTGTTGCAACCAAAAGTAATTTCTTCCTTTTGAAATTTAAATTATAGGATCTGCCACAGTCTATCCATTCAATAATGAATATATATTTGATTTCCTTTCAGTTCTTTGCTACATACAACCTTAAGTAAAGTTTCTAGAAATAATTTTGTATAAGTCTTTATGTTGATAAGTGTTTTCCTTTCCCTTGGGTAAATTCCTAAGTGTGGAATCAGTGGGTAATATTACCTTAATGATAAATCCATACTTAGAAACTGCTAAATTTTTTCCAAAGAGGCTTGTATGATTTTSCACCCCATTAGCAATATATGAGAATTCTAGTTGTCTTACATCCTCACTCACAAAATTTGGCTTTCGTTTTTTTAGTTCTCCCTATCTTATAATTTCATATAAATATATATTTATATATATTTTACTTCCAATTTGTTTTTCCACTTCCTTGACACTGGATCTCTCTTTTGTAGGTTTGCAAGAATCCTGGACTGCAGTCCTACCTACATCTCACCATGCTGGATTTTAATAACACGTCTAATTGGCCCACTTTTTTCTTCATTGGTATTCCTGGTCTGGAGCCTGCACATATGTGGATCTCCATTCCTTTCTGTTTCCTGTACCTGGTGGCTCTTGTGGGTAATGTCCTTCTCCTGGTTATAGTCAGAACAGAACAGAATCTTCATGAACCACAGTTCTATCTTTTAGCCATGCTAGCCCTCACGGACCTGGGCCTTTCCTTGTCAACAATGCCAAGTGTCTTGGCTATCTTCTGGTTTGATGTCCACCACATTGGTCTGGATGCCTGCCTGACCCAAATGTTCTTCATCCACACCCTCTCCTCCGTAGAATCTGGTGTCCTGGTGGCCATGGCTTTTGACCGCTTGGTGGCTATCTGTGCTCCGCTGAATTACACCAGGATCTTGACACACTACACTGTTGCCTGCCTTAGTGGAGCTGCCCTCATACGGGGTGCCACTCTGCTGGCCCCTCTGCCTTTTTTC